ATCAGAGATTCCTGTTAGTAATCTGTTTCTTATATCAATACATCTCACTGAATGGACCCATTTTTTTATTACATTAAAGATATATTATTAACTTTTTTGTAAAAAAATGAACATATTAATGAGTTTCCAAAGTCTTTAGAACTCACTTTATTTTTTAACTACTCATATATACCCATTGAAACCTAAGTGCTCTGCTTGGTCTGGGGTAGATCATTTAGTAATTTTTAATGTCAATTAAAAATACCATCAGTTGTGTTTATGTATACAATACAGTAGGATAACTCCTTTGAAGAAATCGCTACTAACCAGCTGATTTATAAATTCTGGTAAAAATAACTAAATGTGTATTTACCCAGGAAAGCATATCAGCAGGGGCTATTCTGCTCTATAGATAAATACATATTCACCAGAGATAATAGAACATCAAGAATCATTCTGAGTCTCTAAGGTAACAATTTACATTTTTAGCTCTCACATTGCTTTTGTAGTCAAAATTCACTTTCTGAAAAGAAAGGACAAATATTGCAATGCATTTTCAATGACTAATAAGTCTGTATATTGAAAGTTTGGTTAATTTTCAAGCTTTATGAAAAACAATTGTAAGATTATTTTAAAATTGCTAAGTGTCATAATCACCTTTGAATAATTAGGCACCTCTGCTAACTTAAATTCAAATAATTCATTAGTAAAATGGATCATATATGTTAACTTAAATTTAAAAATAAAGTATAGAGAGTTACTAACACTTTTGACACAGTTATTGCTTTGCAGTATTAGCAGATTTTTCCTCTTTAAAAACATCATAACATAAAAGGAAAAGAGCTATACTAACTCATAAAAGGAAAACTAGCTGTAGTTAGTTAATATACTCTACCTTTTACAGTCAAAGGTAGAAAGGATTCTTCCAAATGAAAGAGAAACTATTCAACAAGCAAATATATTTAAAAAAAAAAGACTTTCTGAAGGGAGAAAATTGAATTTGGTCAAATTAATCAACAAAAATGTAGAGAAAAACAACTAAAGTATAGTTATATTCTCAACCACAGCATAATTGAATAAAGCTTAAAATTTAGACTGAGAATGATTGTCTATAACTAGCTATATTATCTCATTGTGGTATTTTATGTATAGATACGCCAAGTGGTCATATCTTATATAGCATTAATAACATAAATAATAGTATGTAATGCATTTCCAAATACAAAAATATACCTTTTTACCATACCAGTTGCATTCTATGGCAATTGAAATTTAAAAAAAAATTAAAAGTATTTACAAGTGGCAACATTACAAGAATATATCCAATTAATCAAGAAATTTCCATGGTAAATATAGGGATTGTCCCCTCTCTTTTTCATCTTATATGGAAAAATAAAATCTTCTTACCTCTCACCCTGACATCCAAGATTACATTTGTTTACCTCAAAAAAAGTGTTAAAATGTCAAAACTCAACCCCCTCTGTCCCCCTTCATAAAGTGAAAATCCAAAACTCTTCATAGTCCCTTATAGTTCCAACAATCTATGCTTCAAACAGGGGTAATGGCTCCCTTTTTGTTTAGTGGTGTCCTGGTGAGGGAAGGATTTTACTATCCCTTTCTGTGGGGCCCTGTCACTTTACCTAAAAGGAAATGAATTGCAACAGAATGACAGGGCTACACAACAAAGCCATTTCGCTTTACAAATCTATTATGGCCTCCAATCTGTTTTATGGGTCTGGTCCTATTATAAACCAAGAAAAACCCTAAAACAAACATTCTTCTTCTTCTTTCTTTCCAATGAAATCATCTACAATTTTATGACTGTTTTTCAGACAATTTAGCCCCAATTTTTCCCCTTATGGAGTTTTACCCCCCAAGACCTCCTCCATCCCACTTTCTCAAATATACAAAACATTCAGAGACAAGGAACTGGACTTTTCAAATACAAACTGCTGACAACTGTCGGAAGCACTTTACTAGGACATTACTGACTGTAGCTTCAATGGATTCAGCTTGATTCACTGCGGGTGAATCATTTTCAATGCAGAGCTGTTCAATGGTAATTGGCCAAGAAAGCCTGCTGTGAAAAGCACTTGTCAAATAATGCTTGTTTACAAATATATTTCCAGACAGTAAAAAAGTGGCAGTTACTGAACAAGTTCAGGGCCACCCCCAGTATTTGTAACAGTGGACATGTTCCCTTTACTTACTGAATCTGTTAACATTTTCACTTGTTGATACATTTGGGTTTTTCTGTTCAGTTCTGCTTATTTACTTACAAAAGTTAACTTTTACAAATGACTGGAATACTAATTATGAATGTAAATACATTTATTTCTTTCTGCCTTGAATTTTTGTCACATAATGGGAATACTATATTGCATATGTTATGTATATACAGGGTGAGGCAAACGCATGAAAAATGATAACATAATTAATAAATAATAATACAAAATAAATTCTGTTTCTCATACTCCCAACTGCCAACCTACTTTTGTCTTACCCTATATACACATTACTACCTGAGAAATCACTATGCCTTTATATGTTGTAAGAAGCAAAGCATATGAGAGCAAGTTATTAATGGATTCAGAGCCTTCACACATATGTCTTCCCCTAATATTCCAGGGTCCCTCCAGAAATAAACAGTCAAGAACAAGTTTAGAAACTTCATTCTGAATCTTTAAATAAATAAACTGACTGCAGTTATAAATATCTTAACATATTCTTATTCCACTTCAACACTTTCACGGGGAAACAAAAAGAAGAGAAGAACATAAATTTTAGAGAACAGAGATAAAGGTCTGGGATGACACTAATGGAAAGATGGAAAACTGTGTTAGGCAAGATGGGATGGAGAAATTATACATATTAATAAGATTTTATTTTTTAATTACACGAAATAGTGACACACTACAGAATGTGCTCCAAACAACACACCTGTCTTTATTTTTAGTGTCTTCAGAGGACTGGGTGAAAAGTAGCATTCTTTTTTTGTTAAATTCCTGCATCCCCCTGGCTCTGTAGCCCAAGTTCTGCTGTGCTCCACTCGCTGGTGTAAGGACAATACAAGCCGTGGGTTTTAAGTTTATACAATTAGCCTGTCTATCTTCCACAAGATTGAGCTCCACTTACAACACTTTAGGAGACCAGAGCTATTTCCTTGCTTCCCTCCATGTCTATCCGCCTCTTCCTCCTCCCCACACAGTCTTGGCAGAGGTTTCCATTCAGCAGCATCCTTTCCGGGACTTCATTTCTTCCCCTTCTCTGATCCAGAGCTACTGCTCCTTTTCATGTCTAACTATTCCCCTTCCCCCATAACACCTGGAAAAATATATATATAATGGAACATGAGAGAATGCATATTACTATTACTCTTTAAATTCAAACCAGGGTGCCCTTTTTGGTGGAATAAGACATTTAATAAAAGGACTCTTAACCCTGCTATAATCCCTGGAATTCTAATGTAATGAATCTAACAGGAGACGTTAATAAATTCACTGACTTCAGATAACACTTTTCCAACTTTATGGGGGAAGGGAAAAATGAAGATTGCTTGGATTAAGCACTCGAGATTGAAGACAGATAGATCAAACTACACATAACCCTTAAATCAAATTTAAAAACACAGAAATTAGAGAATTCCTGGGGAGGATGGAGTAGGGTGGCCAGTCTCCATCTGCCCTGCTTTCGCAAGGTTCCTAGGGAGCTAGCTCACAGGGCTCCGATACCAGCTCAGCGCCTTCTCCTGCAGCCAAGGCAAAACCCCTGCGAGTCAAGAGGACACACACGACTCTGCTGCTTCATTTTTCCGGTCCAGCGTCCCCTGGCCTAGGGGTGGAAGGAAATTTTTAAAGGCTCTGTGCCTCACTCGCGGCATCCGGAAACCAAAATCGAAATCCCAGCTCTCCAGTTAGGGGATACGGTTTTTGATGTTTTTGTGGTGGAACTGACATCTTCCTGAGCTTTGGTGAGGATCTGAGGTGCTGCCCCCACGGTGCAGGAACGCGCCCTGGAGCTGAGACCCGAGCGCAGAGTGCCGTCCGGGTGCGAGGAAAGAGCTCCGTCGGAGGGGCCTCGGAGGCCCTGGGTTGCGCGCCGGAAGGCGGCGGGTCAAGGAGCTGCGCACAGCTCCGGGAGCATCGAGCGCTGCACAGGTGCTGCTCCCACGGCCGGCCCTAGTCTCCCAGTGGGAAGCAGGGACAGTTTTCTGGGTCCGGGGCGTAGGGAGGAGCGCTGGGGACTGACTCCTGCATTTGGTGCCCGGCCGCCCCCGGACTTTTCCCTTACCAAAACAGGGACACAAGCCCCTTTGGGGTCCAACAGCAACTTCCTGGCCGTGACACTCCCCCACTCCCCTCCGTCTCCCTTTGTATTTCACCTCTCCCTCTTCCACTTTCGCCTTAGTAGGCTCATGAGACCCCAAAGTGAAAGGCATCCTATAGTGCAGGGCGCCTTCCCCCTCCCTCGGGAAATAAGAGCTCTAGCCATCCACCCCAGAATAGCAGCTGGTGATGCCCTAAATAACAGCTCCCAGAAGGCACTTTCCCTCCAAATAAAAGCGTCCAGCCACCCCCACAACGTTTCCCATCACCAGCCTCAAATAACGGTTTCTAAAAGCCCCACCGCTCCGGAGATCCCTGTCGCTGTGCTTCAAACAGTTCCCACTCCTCCAAATCCGAAATGGCACTCCCCCACGCGCTTCCTGTGAGCCCCAGCCGCACCCAACCTCCTGTCCTGGCAAGGCTCTCGGACGCTTCTTTGCCCCTGGCTTCCAACTTCCCAACCCCCCAACCAGCCTCTGAGCACAGGCAGGTTGCTCGCCCAGCACTCCAGCAGCTGCTGTCAAACAATACCATCAGAGAGTAGACCGAGAGCCAAGGGCTAGCTAAAGCTGATGACACATGTTAATTCCAGACCAGGAGGCAGATTTCTTTCGAGGCTGCAGCGTCCAGGCTGCCCCGACCCACACTTCCAGGCCCCGCCTTGCCCCTCCACCCCGAGTCACCCCACTGCTCTACCTTCGTTGCTGGGGCTGGCCAGGAGGGTCCGGAGCGCGCCGCACAGGAGAAGGCACGTCCAGAGGGGGGCCCTGCGAGGTGCAGAGTAGCAGCCGGCCAAAGACGCAGGGGTGCTGGGGGAGCCACCGCTGCCGCCCGGGGGCCGCCGGCATCCCGCACCCCGGGGCCCCGAGCCGTGCATCTTCTCCTGGCCTCCGCCGCCGCAGCTGTCCCGCCGCGGCTCAGTCCAAGGCTCCGGCCTCGCCGAAGGGGCGAAAAGCTCGCGTCTCCTCCTGGTTCCCCGTGGGGTCTTCGCCTTCCGGCACGCGGCTCCTGCAAAGGCCGGGACCACGGATCCTCTGAGCGGGCTCAAGTTTGCTTCTGGCACCTTTCTCCCTCCTTTCCAGTGGATTAAATGAAATACTAGTTATCGTTGATAATCAGTTCTAGAATGGCCTCAAGTGTGTCGAGAAGGTCCCGCGTCCTGATCCTTTGCCTCCTAAGAATTTAAAAGATTGAAGTCTCTTTGATATTCCGGGGGGGGGGGGGAGGCGGGGAATAGAGGCTCCTTTTAAGTCTTTAGGGCTGAAGTGGAAGAGGGTAAGGAAGACAAGTCATCTTAAGAAGACCCCCCCCACCCGAAAAAAGGGGGAGAAAAAGCAGAGTGGCTAAGGACACAGGGAGAGGAGTTGAGAAAACCCAGGGTGGAGAAACTGCAAGAGTCGAGCAAAGGAAAAGATCCAGAGAGTTCAGAGAGGCTGGCAGAAGGAAATAGCTGCGGGCTGAGCGCGGACGAGGGGAGGTACTGGCGGCGTGGAGCGGGCAGGAGCGCGGCACCCGGCGGCGGCGCGGCGCTGCGGCGGTTCCCGCTGCCTGGGAAGGAGGCGGTGTGTGCGCGACTGCGAAGGCGAGGTGGAAACTGCACCGGCACGGCGCGCTCCCGCTGTGTCTAGAGCTCCGTCTTCTCCACACCGCTCTGCACCTCCCACCCGCTCCCGCCGCCTCCTCCCAGCTCCCCCGCCCTCGGCTGCTGGCCGCCTCGCCCGTGAGAATCTACTGTAAGTGTGAGCTGCTTGGACGGTCACACATCCACGGAGGGAAGTAATCTGGATGCTGCCGTGGTGAGTGTTGCCTAGCGGTCTCCGGGAAAGGCGCGTCTCCCTCCCCAGATAATTAGGGCGAAGAATCCTCGTGACAACGCCAGCGAGGACCCGGGCTCCTGGGAGGCGGAAGGGAAATCAGCCCTAGCTCAGCCCGCAGCCCCTGGAGAAGCGGGTGCCTTGGTTTGGCATCACGCCTGCTGCCCTGCACAGGCTTGTGGCATCAACAGCCTTGTCGTCACAGAGCCACGCATTCGCAGGCTCTCTGGTAGATGACTAGTTTCTTAAACACCTATATAACTCACTGCTGCTGACCTTTTTTCTATTCTTCCAATTCGGTGGCGGCTGGAATGGGATAATCCGTCAACATTTTCTGCAGAAGTAAATGGTAGAATTTGTAAATATAGAATCCAAGATTTTTGGCTTATTGAGATTTGCAGTGTGCAGGGCGCTTTGAGATATGGTGACCTGATTCATTAATTTCATTGATAGAATGTCAGTGCTAGAGTTATATGATATGCAGATATATGCCATTAATTCCAGTAAAATTGGCATGGGTGAAGTAATTTCAGCTCTTTCAAATAACGATTTTAATTTCTTGTGTTGCACTGCATTGAGAGACTTACAATTAAGAAAAATTTACAACAATTAACTTTATGCTTCATCTCTATATGTCTATTCTTGCTTTAATATTTTTTGTCAACTTTCCATTCATTCTTTCAAAAAGATACCTCTAAAGCTATTTTAGTATACAGGCATAAACAAAAGAAAAAGAAAAAAATACTACAAAGAAAGCATCTACAAAACAGTGTGACTTTAAATGAAAGGTATTTTGTTTAATTTCGTGTGTAGTAACTACTGTAAAGATTGGGTTTGCGTTCACACATAATAAATGAAAATCTGTTCACCAGCTTTGACGTCTAAATTTTTGTTTATCTGCACAAGAAATTTCTCATAATCTTTAGCTGACATTTGCTTTTTTTGTTTAAATACTTGCACTACAGATGAAATAATACAGCAACAGAAATGTAATTTTATAAATAGGTAGAAGCTCGTCTTTGATTTTTTCTAACTGAAATGCTTTTGCATCAAAAATCTAAAAGCTGTTTCTATTATAATGTGCTGCAAATGCATAAAGCAAATTTAGAGGAATAGCAGTGAGTCAACTTCTCAGTTTGGCAAAAAACCTCACAGTGAGATACAAAGTTAAAATTTATGTTTCTATTTGAAAGGTATTCAAAAAGTAAGCCCCTCCTCCTAGATTTATAGATAAATTATTTAAAAGTACCTAAACAGAATATTAAGTAAGTTAGTTAAGCTTAGGAATACATGATAATGCTAATATGAGACTGGGCAGTTTAATGGGGCTTTCAGCTAGTTGCTTGTTTCTGTAGGCCTCAGTATCCTCCCCAGTGAAAAGAGGGATTGGGAGATAGCTTCAAGCTCCTTCCATATTTTTTTTTTTTGCATTTGTATGTAACCCTATTCAGCCATCTCTAATTAGTTACTTTTGACTATAAAATTACCAGATTTCTTCAGCATAGCATTTAGTGCCTACCCAGGGCTTACTTTCTATTTTACTTTATACTAACTAAAAATTCAAAGTCAATGTCCCTTAAATTGCCTGTACCTCTCTGTTTTCACTCTATTCTATAGAAGTTCTATTCCCTAAAAATGTTAACACCACCCCCCAACACACACACTCAATCACCTTTTTTATCTAAATCCCACCCAGTGTCTAAGGACAGTTGGGCATTCAAGACCCATCTTTTCCCCAAAGATGGTGATTTAGTTCTCCTCAGAGTATCTGTAGATCATGATTTATGTCCACCAAAAACCTGGCAATTTTTTTCTGAATGAATATCTGGAACAAATTATCTAACAATTTTAAGTATATATATTAGGATTAAGAGATAGAGTTTAAACTGGGAATATCAAAGAAAACTTGGAACACTGGTCATTATGGTGAATAATTGCGTGATCTCCTACCCAACATAGCTCCCAATCATGAAGTGACTGAGAATACAGAATGCAAAATCCTTTGTGTTTTCCAGCTAAAATAGCTGCCCTATTTCTCATTATTGTTTAACAATTATTACACATTTTTGAAAGAATAAACAGCTATAAAGTGAAGCCCCAATGATGGCAATGAAAGTCTTTTTTTTTTCTTTTGGTCTAATGAGTGTTCATCAGAGAAGGTAATGAGGATGGTTTGGCTTGAGCCTCCATCTCAAAGGAGATGCTATATTTGACCACGCATTGATTACTTGGCTTGTAAATATTTTTAGCATACTTCCATTGGTCCATGACATTACATCAAAAGGAGATTTTTTTTTCATTCATTCATACTTACTACTTTGCACAAGAAAAGACTACAACATCAGTACTGGTTTGGATGTCATGTTTGAATTTCTCATTGTGTGGGATAACTGCCATGGCCTCAAAATGTGAAAGTGGTTGGTGTTTCCCTAGACCTTTGCTCAGATCTGGCTGTTGTACTAAGATTTTGTGAATAAAAGATATTCAGAGTAACCTTGGTAAGACAACTGGAAAGTTTATTGCCCTATAAAAGTGTTATAATTAAGTTCAGTTTTAAATAAGCCTGAATATATCTTCACTGCATTCAAAATAGAACAACAAAAGCAACCACGATAAGTAGACTTGCTAGTGTTTACTGAAGTTTTGTCATGTGTGAGGCATTTTGTGATGTTTTACATCAATTATTTTACTTAATGCTGACACTTCAACCACAATGTCGGTATAATTATTAACCCTATGTTAATGATGAGAATGCCAAGCAAATGAAGTTGGATGAACTGAGTAGTCTCAAAGCTGGTAAGACATGGGGATGTAAATTCATAGTACTAACTCTGTTTGAGAATACCGTAATGTAACAGAAATAAAGAACAAATATCCAGATGTTCATAAAATGAAAAAGAGGATTAATCTAAACTTCTGCACTTACGGAAATAATTAATAAATAAATATATTCCAATATTTTGGTTCATTTAAGTCTGAAAACAGTTTAACACATTATAATGTGCAGGCCAAATTAATGAATAGGAGGAAACAAAAAATGAAGGGTCCTAAAAAAGCATTACCTGGGGAAAAAGATCATCTTACATATACAAAAACTTGCACACAGTTCGTCTGTGTACAATGAAGAAAATGGACCAAATCAAGAAAATGACAAGGCTGAGGTGTGTGGACAGGTAATATTAGCATAAACATGATGCACTAAGCCCATGTAAACCAAGGAAGAAAACATTAGCAACAGTCTTTTTAAAACTAAATATAACTCCATAAACCAAACAGCATTTTTCTTAAAATACTCTATAATCTTAACATGTTTTTACATAATTTTCAATGTTTATGTAACTTAGTTACATTTTGTTTTGGGAGAATTTTAGGAAAAAATCAAAGCAAAATTTTAATGCATAGTAGAGTTTAGATATGAAATTATCAGATACCCTATTGAAACTGAGAGACTTTAATAAAGTTAATTTTCCAGGTCCATGATTTGCTGAAGAAGATAGCTATGTGGTGATGTTAATTATTTTGATCCCAGATTTACTACAATATATTTAAACAATCAATAGTACTCAAGTTCACAACCTAGATAATTCCAGTATATTTATTACTTTATATTTTGTATTTTAATTTAATTACATAAAACAAAATATTTTAAGTTTTATTATTGTTATTTTGCCTCCTAAGAATTTTTTTGAAATCTGAGAATTTTATTTTTTACCTGTTAATGTTAAATTTAATTTTATTTAAATTAACTTGATTATAAAATGGAGATTTAATTAAAAATAATGGACTAAAAGCACTTTAATATATTAATGAGGGTTTAAATATATAAATTACTTCATTAACTTAACAATACATTAATGCATTAGTCATCAAAAACTTCACTTATTAAACATGTTCATGTCATATTCACTCTCATGTTTTTCTTTTTTATGAATATTGAGAACAGAATAATCCTGTATTGCTCATGAGTATGAGTAGAGGGTTTTGTAGCAAAGAATAAAGAACCAGATATTCAGATCAATTAGAGTGAGGCAAAGAACTGCAGATTCTTATTATTGGTGGTGGTGGCTGGTTTATTCTCTAATCATTCCTGTGTCGATGTGCTAGGATTGCCGGCACTGCAGCAGAGGAAGAGGCCAAGTCTGCTCGAATTGATGAGGAGCCAAATTGTCCTGCCAGGAAGTTCTTTGGTTGTTGTTTGCCTCCAGCATCATGGATGGCTGGCACCATACGAAGATGTGGATGCTGAAATAATGAGGACTCTAAGGGCTGAAGAGGAAAGAAAAGTTTGTGCAGAAGAGTCACAAGACTGAAGTGATACACTGTGAAAGTGACCCACCATACATAAAATTCATTTGTTCTAAACCATCTTCTGGAA